CAATGGAATTGAATTGAAAACCCTGATATTAACCCACACACCCACGAACACCTGATTTTTGACACAGAAGCTAAAGATATACAATGGAATAAAGAAAGCATCTTCAACAAATGGTGCTGGCATAACTGGATGCTGGCAAGGAGAAGACTGCAGATAGATCCATGGCTATATCCATGCACAAAACTTAAGTCCAAATGGATCAAAGACCTCAACGTAAATCCAGCCACACTGAATTTATTAGAAGAGAAAGTGGGAAGTACCCTTGAACTACTTGGTAAAGGAGACAGCTTCCTAAACATTATACCTGTAGCACAGACACTGAGATCAACAATTAATAAATGGGACTTCCTGAAACTGAAAAGCGTCTGTAAGGCAAAGGACACAGTCAGCCAGACAAAATGGCAGCCCACAGAATGGGAAAAGATATTTACCAACCCTCTATCTGACAGAGGGCTGATCTCCAAAATTTACAAAGAACTCAAGAAGCTAGTTTCCAAAACACCTAATAATCCAATTAAAAAGTGGGGTACAGAACTAAATAGATAATTCTAAACAGAGGAATCTAAAATGGCTGAAAGACACATAAGAAAGTGCTCAACATCCATAGCCATCTGGGAAATGCAAATCAAAACAACTCTGAGATACCATCTTAAACCCATCTGAATGGGTAAACTCAAAATACCAATGACAGTTCATCCTGGAGAGGATGTGGAGAAAGGGGCACTCTCCTCCATTGCTGGTGAGAGTGCAAACTTGTACAGCCACTTTGGAAATCAGTATGGAGATTTCTCTAGAAAATGAGAATCAGTGTACCTCAAGATCCAGCAATTCTACTCTTAGGCATATACCCAAAAGAAGCACATTCGTACAACTAGGACATCTGTTCAACTATGTTCATACCAGCATTATTTGCAATAGCCAGAAGCAACCTAGATGCCCCTCAACTGAAGAATGGATAGAGAAAGTGTGGTATATTTACACAATGGAGTACTACTCATTGGGAAAAAAATGGAATATTGAAATTTGCAGGCAAATGGATGGAACTAGAAGAAACCCATGCTTCAGTTTCGATAACAAATAATTTCCCCATGTGCTCCCCTAGGGTAGCAGTCTTTCCTTTGTGAATTCAGAGTATGTGAGCTAGAAGAGAACTGAATGGATGAGGGAGAGAGAACCCCTCTCCTACTTGTTGATGTTACTGGGTGGCTGTGGACTTGTGCAGAGGCAATGGGAGTGGTGAAATCATTGTAGAAAGAGGAAGACTCTGGCTCCCCTACAAACGGAAAGCGTCTACACCTGCCTCCAATTCCAGCTTTCACAATGGGAGCCAGATGCGTGATTTGTTTTATTTATTTATTTATTTATTTATTTATTTATTTATTTATTTTTTGTATAGCAATTTGAGGATGGTGGTTATAGTTGGTAGTTGAGATGATAGCAATAAAGGAAAATATTTACAATCATTTTGATGAAGCTAAAACATTTAAACAGAAGGGCACAACACTGAACATTCATGGAGGTGTTAGCTACTCATGACTGACATCAGTTTCTTCAATAACATATGTGAGATTTTGTTAAAGATTCTTCTATTAGTTACTTTTAAAATTAAAACAAACTCACAACATGCTAAACTCACAACATTTGAAATGAATTCTTAGTCCATTTTTGACAGGAACTCAATTTCTATTTCTTGAAAGTATAATCAAATGGGAGTAAGTTCATACTTCATTTTAAAAAATATGCAAAAGCATCTTTGTGAACAGATTTTCAGCGATACTTTGTCTGATTCTTGACAGATTCTAAAATACGAAGAGAAGTGGCTAAAAATTCCCTAGTGTTGATCTGCCTGGGTGACAAGCCCACACAGTAGAGAGAGTGGAATGATTTAGAGGTACTCTACTTTCAGAGAACTAGTTGAATTTCCACCAAATATATTCTTGGATACTTAAGCTTTAAAATCCTAAGAAATGTAATTGCTATTACTATAGATCTATTGTATGTATTGGTACAAGAATGCCACCCTTAGAATCCTGTGTTTCCTATGTATCACACTATGATAACATTAAAAAGAGATTATAGACATAATTTATCATGTGTCAGAGTTATTTAAATACAGAACTAATAAATAAAAATTACAACTCCTATATATCTTTGTTCACCATACATGTTCATTTATTTCAATACTGATTTAATTGAACTGAGGGCTAAAAACATTAACTCCCTGATATCATATATGAAAAAAAGGAGCAAGGGAAGCAGAAAACCCAATCACAACAGCTTGTCTGCATGAGGTGTTCCAAGTACTCCAAGGCCTCTTTAAGCTTTAGAAATTCTTTTTGAATTATCCACCACGTATTCATTTATTCAACAACTTGGTTCTGAGAATCTTCTATGTGCCAGGGATTTATCAGTGATCAAGGAGCACAAATGTGTGTTATTTGCATATCAGAAAACTCAACGAATATGATTAAAATTAATAGCATCCTTTGTTGAATGTCAACGAATGCAAGCAAACAGAGTGAAACAGACATTTCTCCCTGATCTAAACAGCTAGAGGCACACTGGTCCTGGGGATGCAATTAGTTTCTCTGAGATGTAAAAATTCTGGTTGTACTCTAAGACACAGACTTTTAGCTAGCTACCACTGAATCTGCTCCTCTAGCTCCAAGACTGAGCAGGTGGGAAGGACTCTAGCCAGGGCTAGCTGCAACCACACCTTGTAGCCTGAATACAGCTCCTTTGAACCTAAAATGACACAGAGTACTGTCACTAGCAAGATGGTGGATAGTGGCTGTGGAGGTGGGGTGCTGGTCAGAAAGGCTGCTTCTAACCTTAGTTAACAGCCAGATCATTTTTTTAAATTTATTTTTTACATTGCAATCCCAGTTCCTCTCCCTCCTCTCCTCGTGTTCCCCCCACACTCCCAACCTCACCTCTCATTTGTTCTTCAAAGAGGGGAAGGCCTCCCCTAGGAAGTCTACTAAGTCTGTCTCATCATCTCATTAAGGCAGGATCAACAGCCAGACTGGTTTTAAAAACTCCTGGGATAAATGCTATCCATATCAGAAATCTATCAATCACGATGAAGAATATATACTGTACTTCTGATTCTCGACAGATTTCCTCTCTAGGGCAACAGTGCACCTTGTTAACTCAGTTGTGCCAGTTGACCTTTATTGAGCATTTACCATATGCCAACCATATTCTAGGAGCTGGGAAGAGATAGTAAGCAAGGCAGATAGAGTTTCTGGCCTCTTTCCAAAGACAAGGAGGATCTGCTTCAGTTGCAAGTATGTGCTATGAAGACAGGAACAAGTGAGGAAAGAGGCCTGGTTTCGAAGGGTTAACTAGGATATCACCATTTGCGAAGATATTTTACAAAGTTATTGAGGAAAGCAGGCAATTGGTCATGAGATAGTGGGTGGGGCAGGGGCAGGGGCAGGGCAAAGCCACAAACGGGAAATGAGATGAGAGGGTCTGAGAGCAAGTGAGGGGGACGTAAGGATGTAAGGAACAGGGGTTGGTGTGAGTCAGAGCAGCACACAGGAAGTAGACCATGCTGAGAAGCTTTCCCTTGGTTCTAAGTGTGATGGAAAAACACTAAAGGGTTTGATTTGGAAAGGGCTTTGAGCAGTGATTTCCATGTGGCAAAGATCATTCTGTAAGTTCGACTAAGCATAGAGTGGAGGGGCCAAGAGCAGAACCAAGGCATCTTGTTGGGGGGTTTTGTCCAAGGGGGAGAGAAAGATGTTTACTTTGCAAATAGTAGGTGTTCCTTAGTTGCCACAGAATTGACTGCGCACGGTGCTGTACCTGTGCTGCTGTAGAAAGCCAGTCCGCTGGAGGCGCTGAACTCCTCAATGAAGAACTGAGATAGGGAAATGTGCTCCTCAGTGTTTAAGGACTTGTTGCCATGTTTCCAGTACAGCATCAGGTCCTCTTCATTGTAAGCATCTAAAACAACACAGACAGTTCCTGCCTCAGAAGTTAGGTGACGTCTGCAGCTCTGTTTGAAACAGTTCTGAATCCACAGTTCCTGGTTCAATGGTGACCGTGTGCTATGTATTGAAAGATATTTTCCAAGGAGCTGAACAAACCCGCACACTTCATGTTCTGGAGAGATGGCTCAGTGGTTGAGAGCACTGCCTGCTCTTCCATGAGTCCTGAGTTCAATCCCCAACAACCACATGATGGCTCACAACTATCTGTAATGAGATCTGGTGCCCTCTTCTGGCCTGCAGGCACACCTGCAGGCAGAACACTATACATGATACCTAAGTCTTTAAAACACACACACACACACACACACACACACACACACACATCACACTTCACAAAGGAAACAAAGCCAAACACTAGCCCCACATCCATCTCTAAGATCTGGAGCCTGAAGACTGTCAGGACAGAGATGTTCCTCCCTCGGTGATGTTTGTAATTCTCCAGTCTGCCTATCTGCAAGCACTCTTATATGAAATTAAGCCAGACCTCCAGGCAAGACCAGAACACTGCCTCACAGAGGCTAAGTCCATGTCTTTGCATTTCTTTAATGTACCTCCCTTGGATGAAATTCTAAAATGAGCCTTACGAATTTTTTTATTGTGTTGTAAAATGTTGGTAATAGAAGTTACAAAGGAACAGATGTGCCGGTGCTATTCATCAAGATTTAGAGTTTTGGCCATATGATGAAAAAATGGATGTCAGGTAACACTAATCGTCAGGGAGCTGGGTCAGAGGCCCTTACCAGGACTTTGGCTAGGGAGTCTGTGGCCCAAGCTGGGTTTCTCTAGGGACCTCATACACACTCAATAGACCACTGGGACTTGTCTAGCTATAGGATTCCAGGACCTTCCACATGTGGAAGATCAGTGCTAATGTTAGGAAGCTGCACCCTCTAAAGGAGCTGCCTTTTTATTGCTGTTGTGAAAATCACAGATTATTTAATGACCAAAGCATTCCTGCCCCACCCCCCACCCAAATCTTCTCATTTGAAACACAATCTATCATCATCATTAGAAGAAATGAGAAGTGGTGTAGCACCGAAAAGCAATAAAATGTAACTGGAAAATATGACAGGATGCTTAAATGGTTGCTAAGCACATGTGTATTTCCCGTGAGTGTGTGAGGATGTGTTCCGACGATGATGTGGGCTTATTTCATCAGGCAGACAGACTTACAGCTTTCTAGCTCAAGGGAACAGTTCTGAGTATCCAGAGGAAACCGGCTGAAGTCCATCAAGCACATGGCCGAAACCGTTATCCTGGAAACGGAGTAAGAAATAGACCTGTGATCATTGACCCATAGGGCCCAACTAGCACACAGCAATGTGTCTCATTGTTTGCTTGCTTTGTGTGCCTTTCAGGGATAATGAGAAACAGGCCTGACCGTCTTCTGTCCAAATAACAAGAAAGCAAACCCAAAGGGGTAGGGATTACTCAAGACAGAGATTGATGAGTGAATTCTTACCCTTGTTCCCTCCCTCAGCATTTCCTGATTAGCTCCCTCTGCATTTTCTGGCTCTGATGATTCTTCTTTTTTTTTTTTTTTTCTCAGAAAAATACCTCAAAGTCAGATGCTTTAAATGGATTTGAAAATGCTCTGATCTCTAGAAGATGCAAAATTTCATAGTCTCCAGTGAAAAGAGTTGAGGTGGTGCTAATACAAATCTATAGGCAAAGGTTCCCTTCACAAAGCACTAGGAAATGTTCCTGTGGTACAGAGGTAAAGCCAGTAGCATATTTAGGGATAGATCAATGTTCATAATACATAATTCAGGAACTGTTAAGCCAAAGACTTGCATATTGATGAGGCCTATTTTTTTTTCTTAAAATTTTTCTATTCTCCTCGATTTTCCTGGCTCCAGGCAGAGGCTGCCATCCTATGATCATGCCTCAAAGAGAGAGCTGCGGTAGCCACAATAGCAGATTAGAGGTTCATAAAAGGCCCCGAGCAAGTCTGCAAAAACAAAGGCAACAGATGCTCCTGCCAGTGGTGCCTCTGAGTTAATCAGAAGAGCAGAACCACTTTATCTCTGTGGCCTGCATTTTATTGCCAATCATCAAAGCCTCAAGAACTGAGGTGTGTGGATGATCTTTGTGTGCACAGCACACACTTAGCCTGGTATGTTCCCAGAGCATTAAAGGAAGTGTTTCCCAAGGTCTTAACACCACTTGCTTCATAGCATACATGAAGAAATGAGTGACTGAAGAGGATTTTGGCTAGGTGGCCTCAGAACCCAACCTGGTACCTGGAGACCTAGATCTGTGCTTGGACTTGTTCTTTGTTGGATTGTGTTGTGAACTGCGTTCACAACAGTTTTGAGTCTTCTTGAGTGTGGGCATCCCTAAGTCCACCTCCAAGTTTGAGCTTCCACAGAAAGACTTAGAGTACTCAGTTAAACTGTTATGCTCATGGGTACACCTGAGTGAGGGACATTGTACTTCACTACAATAAGGATTAAAGCAATAACTGAAAAAGGGGAAGACTGAGTCCATGAGGGATCCCAAGAAATTTCCAGTTGTCCTTCCTGGAAAGTGTGACATCATTCTGTCAGTAGTGATCTATATGGCATCATGAACAGAGCACTGTGGGTCAGGAGAGCTCATGCAGCCCTTGGTGTGGAAAACGTTAACTGAGAGTTGACCAGGTAGATGAATGATTTTTTGTTTCCATCCTCTCCAGAGGAGAGAATGATACCACGGCACAAGGAACCCATCGTAACCACCATGAGCATATGCTCTCTGGTATGGCTTATGGACTCCAGATGAACACAGACACTTTTCTCAGGCAAGATAATCCAAGAGATTAAAGGTGACCTCACCATAGTCTGTCTGGCAAGGGCTAAACAGATATTAGAATGTGCAAGATGATCTATTACTCTTCATCCTCTCAGTAAAGCAATTTTAAAACAGCCGATTCTTTGGTATGATTCTGTTTTCAATACCTAGTGGCTTTTGAGACTAGTATTTGTGAATACTATAGGAAACAGCACTGGGGGTGCTGGAGACATGGCTAAGTAGTTAAGAGCACTGAATGCTCTTCCAGAGGACCAGGGTTCTATTCTCAGCACCCACATAGCAGCTAACAAGATCTGATGCTCTCACATAGACATACATGCAGGCAAAACACAAATGTACATTAGAAAAAAAGGAAAGAGTATAGGACTGTTCATTAATTGCATTTATAGCTTTTATAAAGGCTGAAGATAGCTGCTCCGTGAATGATACTTCTAATGAGCAAAAATAATTTCTTATTGCTGCTCTCACAGTAATTTATCATAGTAGAAATATATTCTTTCATAGCTCTGCAGGCCAGAGGTCTAATTAGAATCACTGGTCCAGAGTTACTCTTGTAAGACATCTCAGGGGAAAATCCACCCACACTGGTTGACACCAGCTGTCCTTGGCTTGGGATCCCATTGCCAACTCTTCTTTTGTGTGTATCAGATTTCCTCTCCTTTTCTATTATGAAGACTCTTATGCTGCATCTAAAACCCAGGCAGATAATATAGGACTATTTTCCCATGTTGAGATCATTAATTCAGGGCTGGGTGTGGTGGCACACACCTTTGATACCAGTACTCAGGAGGTAGAGTAAGGCAGATCTTTGAGTTGAGGCCAGTCTGTTCTACAGACAGGGGTCCAGGACAGCCAAGGCTACATAGAGAAACCCTGTATCTAAAAACAAACAAGCAAGCAAACATCATTAACTTAATCACATTTGCAAGGATCCTTTCCCCTCACCCCATAGAGAACAACTCATACAGTTTGCAAGGATAAAGACCACAGTTCTTAAAACATACTTATAGACCCTGTCTCAGATTTCTAGAGCATTAAGAAAGCTGAATACCCTGGACACACATATTTTTAATAGAATATCTACCACAAGCCATTCCATATGCACAGAATTCATTTGGCTAAAATAAAATATCAGTTAAAGTGAAAAGCCTCTGATAGCATAGTGCTATAATACATGTTTTAACTAAAACAAACAAAAAACAAGTGAGAAAACTTATGTTAACTTGCATTGTGATTATGCCTTCATATGACAAATGAAGGAGCTACCTGAAGAAAGCATTTCTCTGATTCAAGATTCTAAACTACTTGGTGGAGTACAGGGATAGGAAGGAGTTGGTTAATAGAAATGTGTTCACATACCTAAACAATTGTGTGTCAGACTTTTAAGGATTTCCAGATTTCAGCCCCACTCTATTTGTTCAAACAATATGTGGTCAGAGTGAAAAATATACAGAATAGAAAGACGTTCTTTAAAGTTTTGGGTAACAGAAGTGGGGAAAATTACATAATCTGGTTGTGTTCCAATCTTCAGAATCATGAACCTGACACATCAGTGCTGTTAGTTTAGCGTAAAGCAAGACTCAGAAAGTCTTGTTAGATGGCTGCGGTCCAAGGAAGCCAAAGGCCAGAGGGAGCCCTCATACCTGAGACTGAAGAGAACATTCCCATCCGGATGGACTCGCAGCATGATGTTCTCCACGGTTGTGTCATGGATGAAGGATCTTTTAGAATGGACAAAGAAGATGTCAGGCACCCAAATCTTTTGAATCAATCTGTGATCGAATGTCATGCTTTTGTTTGTAGTGCTAGGAAAGGCGAGTCTCTCATCCTTCCAATAGTGCCGGAGATAAAATGTCATCGTAAAGTCCTGGGCACAGAGAAAGGGACCAGTGAGAACCGGTGCTCTGATTGCCACTTGAGTATGATGAACTCACTGAGGGCCACCGTGTTCATGGTCGTAAGTTACTGTTTGCATCCAAGTTTCAGAACGATAGGATGAAGCCAGTCCCTCACTTTTTCTCACCCCCCTTCACTCCAGTCTCTTACTTCTTCCCATCCCTCCCTTCTTCCTTCTTTCCCTTCAACTTCATACTTCTTTTAAAACATGATACTACTATTGAAAAACAGTCTAGATTTAAACTCACGATCGTGTACCCTGGCCTCCGGAACTACTGCGTGTGCCACTATATTTAAGAAAAATCTGTAGGAGTATTGACCTTTAAATTTGTTCTTATGTTCATCAGTTTGTATTATTCTTTAGAAACAGATCACCCAAATTGAATATGCTATAGTTCTACAAGAACATGAACACAGTATTTATTAATGGGAAACAAGTAGTTGGAGGTTCAAGGCTACAGATGGTGATACATTTGATGCTTCAAGGATAGAAAGGATACTGTAAAAACGGTAGCTTGCACAAGAATCACTTTATAAGCTCGTTGAGATGTGAACTCCCTAGAAGCAAGTTGCCATTGCTCCCAATTAAGTGTGGCTCGGGATCTGAACTGGCTTGTGTACACTAGCTGTAAGAATATGGCAACGAGGGTGTGGAAACCTATATTAGCATCCAGTTCAGCCCCAGCTCAGGGGGCTAAACTGGTACTGTGCATGCCAACTGTAAGAACACAAGGAGGAGGGCTAAAAACCTATACTAACACTACAGTAACAAAAAACAGACAAACATTAAAGAATTTGAATTTTATATAGCATTCAAATATTACAGTTACTATTTTGGTTGGGTTAAGAGAAATTCCTATTATTTGTGTCATTGGGTGTGGATATTAATAATGTATTTTACTTTTTTTTTTTACTGTTTCACTTTTCACAATTATTTTCTTATCTTTCTCCACCCAAATCCAACTTTTCTTGAACTGGTGTGTATAACATGACTTTGGCATTTATTGCACAAACAAAAAACAACTCTCAGTCAATTGCAAATAAGTTACCAATTATTTGCCCATCCACATTGTTTTTCTTCGGTTCCAAAAGTGTTCACTGGCTTATTGCTGTGAATTAACTCTGACCCTTACAGAACCATTTCTTCAACAGTGTGACACTTCTTCCCAGGGCAATGTGGGGGGTACCTGGTGGCTTGACTAATGCTCAGTCTGATCTGGAGGTCATTGGTCAAACACTGAACTAAGTTAGAGCAGGACAGGAAGTCCCGGTGTGGTATTATGCAGAAGAATGGCTGCAGGTGTGTGTATTTCATCATGAGTGTGCTGTGTATTCCAATAAGCAAGAAGAAAGTGGAGTGCCTTTACAAAAAAGTGGGGGGAGATAGCCGTGTTTGGATGGGAATACTGTGTGTTTTTGATGTGCCTACCTCATAAATCACACAACACTGACATTTCAGTTGAAAACACTTTTAACACCCCAGCACAAAAGTCCAGGCTGGGATGTTTAATGTGGAAAAAGGAAGGACGATTACTATCAGGTTAACAGGCTCAAATAACAATCTCAAATAACACTAAGGACCAGCTGGGTAGCTATGAAAAGGGAGACTAAATCTAGAGAGAAGCAGTGCCTGGGGTCTAGGGCCAAGAGGCGGGTACAGGATCCATCTAAAGGCATTCAAAGTTAAATCAGTTCTGGAGGCACTAAGATACAAAGTACTCCGGAGAGACCCGTAAGCTGCACTTTACTTGGTGCTGGGTACCAGCTAAGAGTATTTGTTATTTATGTGCACACATAATTGAAACAAAGGAAACCCTTGTAAAGAGGGCAGAAGAGACAACAAAACGGAGTTGGGGTGGGGAGTGAGACTCATCTAGCATCGCTCCTGGGACAAACCTGAACAAACCTGACTGGTGCTTTATGGGACTGAAGAAAAGACACACACACACACACACACACACACACACACACACACACACCGGGATACTGTGTCTTTCTCTAAGAAAGAAATCTGGGATCGTGTGGTCTGGGCTCTCTGCCGGAGAAGCCTGTGCACCTAGGACCCTCAGCTTGTTTATTACATAGACTTGAACTGCAGCAGCGTTGTTGCATACAGCTGAGCAAGGAAGCCGGTTATTGCACACAGATGGACAAGCAGGCATGAGGGTGGGGGTGGGAAGTGGTTATAGAACACAGCTGGACCAAGGGGACAGGTTTAGCTAATCTCTGTAGGAGCTGTCTCTGAAGGGGAGCTGTCTTCAGGTTGCAGATGTTGGGGAAGGGTAAAGCTATTCTGACTTTTTCTGCACATGCTATCAATATTTCGTAAGTGAACCTTTGCCATCATTCCATGGGTCTGAGGCTCTGGGTTCCTGTCAACAGCACATGGTTACTCGGGACTTCCCTCACTCAGGGTGTCCTCTGGTTCCTACTGATGCTGGCAACCATTAGGTATAAATGAGGAAAGGACCACTGAAAATGTGTCCTAGCAGGGAACTGTATCTTGCATGCAAACATATAAGGAAGGGCTCATCAAAGCTCAGTCTATATAAAATTAGCATAAAACCAGGAGTTAAAAGAAATCCACTTGAAAACAAAGTATGCAAGTACAGAAACTGGGCCCAGCATGAACTCTTGTTACAGAAAAAATAACCCCAGTGCTGAAAATCACTTAAATGAAAACTATTTGGAGAGTTATCTAGACAAAAAGGGTCCTAATACATTAAAAATATTGAATATGAAATGGAAAAAGTATGGTTGACGCCATTAAAACATAAAAGTGGCTAAAATGATGAAACCAGGTTAAAAAAGAGGAAAAGGTACAAAAAGTGAGTAAAGTGAGGTGACAACTGGGAAGAGAAGACAGATAGTAAGAGGTCACAGCTTTACTTCTATCTGAAAACACTTATTTTATTAGCTAATAGACATTCTATTAATAGACATCCTCTTAATCCTGATTTTATTTTCTTTTGTTCTGAAGCTTTTAGGTGTGTATTCTCATAAAATTTTCAAAGGTGACTTTTAGACAATTTTCCCCCTGTAGGTTCTTTATATCAGAGTTCAGAACATACAATCCCTGGTGAATGGATAATAACATCTTACTGGATACATGGAATCTGAAAGTAGATTTATTTTTAAGTAAATCTTTTTGATGTATGAGGTGTACTATGTATAGTTATTTCTGTAGACATAGTTTTGAATGTATTTGTAACTAACAACTTAGTCTTCATTTTTCTTTCCAATATGTATTCACATATAAAATTATTATATATCTGTTTTTATTCATGACTATAAGTAGAACAGTGATTTTAAAATAAAAAATGTTCTATGAAAATATAGGCATTACTCTGGAAAATAAAATGTTAAGCTCTTTTGTATTTCTATCACATACTATGGGATAAACAAAATTTTTTGAATTAAATATGCTGATCAAGAATCTTAAAATCCCTATCTTCTGGTATTGGTTATACAGAGACAGGCAGAATTAATATCAACTGAATCACCTGGAAATAATAAAGCTTGGCACAGCACTCTATCATTTTATGAAGAAGGCCTTGGGGCTGAGATTTCATGGTTCGAAAACTGAATGGTTGTTTCTCTTATACACTTGTTTTCAACATGTGACAGACAGCAACTTTACCATGACATTCTGCAGGAAGCCATAAATAAGAAGCCGTGAAAAGAAGGTGGGGTGAGGGGGAGGAATCGGAGTGTAGTCAGAGGGAGAAAGAATGGAGAGGAATGGAGGGGAGAAGAGAAACTGCAATTCTGCTATGATGCCAAGTAGGAGAGATTGATAACATAAATGCCTGAAATGGCTCATTCAAAAACTAATGAATTCAAAACTATTATTTAATTCTTTTCAGCAGAAGCTCAATGCCTGGTGGGAAAACTCACCATGTTGACCTCTGAAATGCTGTCAATGCTTTCCACCTGGACGTCTATACCTACTGGCACCGGGGAACCTTCAGAGAGAAAAATGAATGAATTACCGAGAAAGGCATTATAGTCTTTTTGGAAATCTTCCACAGCCAAGAAAGACCATTGTTCAACAATTGAAGGTAGTTTAGTTTTTTCAATATTTTTATCCATCATCTCTCCTATTTTCTATTGAATCACTTGTCATATCATCAAACATAATAACTAAGGCATATGCATGAATAAATGCTACTCCAATCATCGTTGCTTGGAAAAATCCCAAAGCTTTGCTATTGCGTGTTTTGGCTAGTGGGAATTTAAAGAAGAACATTTTGGAAGCATATATAGGAGCACATCAGATCACGCATTTTTGTATAATAATGGCAGTTCAGTGAGTTTTATAGGGTGTTTTATCACGCATTTCCTTGACTTTGGAAATGTCAAACCCATTTCTCTCTTTCCCCCATGTCAGCCTCTTTCCTTCATGAAGTGGTTAGTGGTCTAGAGTTAGACAGATTCTCGAATGCTATACAATGCTTCAGACTCAGCAGTCACAGAGGATACTGGGGTAGAAGCAAACACTTTAGAAACTTGTTTGATGAAATACACTCAGGTGGAAACTGAAGCAATCTCAGACAGTGGACTTCAAACTTAGCAGCTAGGGCTCCTGCAACAGGGTAAATAGCAACTAAGAGAGTGCAGGCCAGACAGCCATTGTGGCATTTTCCAGTTCCACTAAGAAGGAATTTCAACACCCCACCCTGTATACGTAGGGGGAGTGCTGTTAATAACTTTATCATTAGTTTTGGGTAAGAAATGTGATCTCATCTATGTTGACACAATCCATATGTTTACACATAATCTTTGCATGGCTTTTCTTACTGGAGTAAGTCATTCTCATTTAAATCGTATTGCCTCAGCGAGTTAAAAAGAACTCTTGACTATTAACAAATAAAGATTAATTCTGCACAGCTGAATCGCAGCTGTTTAATCCAGATGCTGGGATTTAGATGAGCCCATCCTGAGAAGCTTTCCTACTTGGCTAAAGAAGGACTGAGTGTGTCACATGTGACACACATATGCATACGATCCAGCAGCCTTCTAGATGCATTACAAAGTGAAAAACAACTTAACTTTGTTGATACTCTTCTGGGACCTCATTAATTCTGGGTGCTACCTTTACCATATCACATTTCCTTTTTGTTTATTATCATTTGCTACTTAGAAGAGTCTCAGCTAGTCAGGTACTTGGCCCGTCACTCAAATATCTTCCCGTCTCACCCTTAATTGATGTCTTACTTGTGTCCTAACTACCATCTTCTTCACATGTTGGATCAGTTAACTTGTATGACACCAATTCTATGGCATTGTTTACTGCAGATTCCAATTCCACACGAACTTGGGAAGAGCTGAGCATTATTCCTTCACGGGGCTAAGGGTTGGTGATCTCTTGCGTTTGCCCTGTTTCTTGAATTAATAATCATAAGAAAAATTCATGACAGCATCTCATCCATAGCTCTGCTTGGCACTTCATAGTGAATAAATATTCCCATTAATTCTAATGCTGTGAGGGAATGAGATTTTGAAAGGTCTCGAAGGGGTGGCAGAGTGTCTTGGATAAAGTGTGAACACAACTTCATCACTGTTATATATTATGGAGCAAGAAATATCTCCAAAGTTTGGTTTCTTCCACTATAAAATCCGCACAGAGATACTCAAAGAGCACCACTGCAGGTCATAAATAGTACAGTTTACAGACTTAATGGACTTAATTGGATCTTAATAAATTAAACATTACTTGCTCAGTTAAGCAAAAATGCAACCCCACCTTTTGGAAATGCAGGGCACTATTCTTAATTAAACACTCAAACATATAGGTTATCAACACATTCTCTCTCTCTCTTTCTCTCTCTCTCTCTCTCTCTCTCTCTCTCTCTCTCTCTCTCTCTCTCTCTCTCTCTCTCTCTCTCTCTCACACACACACACACACACACAGAGTGATTTTTCCATCATTCATTTTCTGGTGAGGCCAGAGAACAGCTTGGCTTTAGGCTCTTTTAAGGGCAGTTGTCCATTTGAGTCCATGACTTTCATATCTTCGGATTCAGCCAACTACAGTTAAGATATTCAAATCTGAGCATGTATTGCTTTTTTCCCTCATTATTATTTTCCAAATAGGCCTTATTAACAACAATTTGCATAGCATTTACATTGTGGGAGGCATCAGAGTAAGCTAGAGACAATTGAAAGAATATGGAAGAATTAATATAGGGGATAGGCAAGTGCTGTGCCATTTTGTATAAAGGACTCGAACATCTGCACAAGTTGTCTTTTTAGGTGATGGTGGCAGGCTGGAAAACAATTACTTAAGATATGGAGAGAAGAGTGCATATCCTAGTGGTTGGTGGCTATAGCTAGCTTTCGATGATATATTCACCCTCCTGCTGGGCATGCAACGGAATCTCAAGGCTATTTTTATGGTAAAGGTAATGCATGGCTTGGTCATTTGAAATGAGTTCCTGTTACCTGCTATTCCTTCCATTCAGACTTATACTATTATATGGAGATGAGCTCCTCACAATCCACACACAACGTGCACCTGTGAGATGCTGTCTGTCCTCATGTCTGTCTCCTTTGAATTTTATGTTAAGGGCATCCAACTCCTTATCCAACAGGGAATAAGAACCTGTCTCTGACATGTGAAGGCTGAGTAGAGGGTGAAGGGAATTGTTTGAAGAGTATTGGCTACTCTTCAAACCTTCAAATATCATTCATGTGCTATGAGAGGAAGAAAGTGACAATTAATCACAGGGGTTACAATGCCAACACATGTAGCTATATACAACCAAAGTAGGGCTACAGTTCTGTGTATCTCCTTAATCTTCATACTTCTGTTTGCTAGGTCTTGAAGGGCTGTTATGAGAACTCATGAAGGAGTGCATACCACATCTTGCCCTTTGCCTCATTCAAATGTGGGGCTACCTACCATTTACTCTATCATAAAGGTCAATATCATAAATGATAATACCTTTCTAAGAACTTTGCCCAAGTTTACAAGTAAAATCAAGTAGAAGTTAGCTAAAGATTGACCCGTTTGACTATTAACTTCCAAGGAGCACTAACTAGGTAGTAACACATCTATAAATGTTTTAATGTATATATTTGGGTTTTTGAATGCAGATAGACTAATAATGGCTAAGTAAAAATGATTTATCCATCTCTGTAGTGTCTTTACAACACTTTACACAATGTGTCATCTAGTAGGTGGGTACACATGGCTGTTTAGCTCTAGCTGACCTCTGTATGAATTTACGTGGCTACATAAGAACTCTCATTTGCCATCCCAAGCCAGGTAGTGATGGGGATGGGAATAAGTCCTTCTGACTCTCAGGTCTGTTGTGTGACTCGTGGTGACTGTAAGCGGCTTTGATAATGTTAGCTTTTGTGTCAGCTCAGCTGCCAGAATGTAGGTGCTGGACTGACTTTTGAGAAACGAAGAAATCATCCTCTGAAAGAGGGAAACAAAAAGTCCTCAGTTAGAGGAGACATAGTGGGCGGGAAAACATAAATAAAGAAAATGAGCTGCAATTTATAACCCAAGTTAAACAAAAAGCTCCCTAAATTTACATCCTCCTGTTTCTACATAATGAGTCAATTAATCTTCTGATGCTTTATAAAAGTGAAAGAAAAAAAAAAAAACCCCACTCCGGTAGCAGCTGGTTTTAATGTTAAACCTAATTAGGAAAACACATTAAGGCAAGAGAAGTGCTGAAGTTACATTTAGCTGAGAGGAGAGAAGTATGTTCATGAGCTTGTGCTGTGGACAAGGGGAAGATAAATTAAAGCCTGTCTTTTGTATTCCACAGCCCGATTTCCCAAAGGAAAGCAGCCATTTGAGAGCAGAGAATGAGTCACCTTCTAAGGCACGCTTCTGGTCAGGCTAAGCAAATGAAGACTAAAGACCATTTCACAGAGCTAGTAGACTGATTCTACTTTGGCCTGGACTCTGGGAGTTTTCCTTCCCTAATGACTGAACAAACTATCTGGACACCTTTTAGCCCAGCCTAAGATTGTCAGAAGATTCTCTCAATTGTGAGATGATCTGCCAGCTGTCACTATGAGTCACATGCTTCAATTGCATATTTAATAATCTCATAAAATAGCCTTGGGAAAAATAATCTAAGGAGGCGTTATCGCTTAAAAATAGTAACCTGTATTCCTAACATGTCAGGCAAAAAGTGAATGTTGGGCCAGTGTTATGCTTTTCTGGAGGTGAGAATGATGCACAGGGTGGAGGGTGAAAGCATAAATATTTTACCTGGAAGGAGGGTGCAGGCTTGGCATTCTGAAGCCCCCACAGCCACTCACCAGGGCATCCTGTTACCATGGGGAGTTACAATGCAGGCTTTGGGACTGTGGTTGGGAATTTAGTTGGACTTCCTGGTGCTTCTGCTAATCCATGGAACACGTTGAGTAATGAGGTGCCTGTATATTATTTGTTTTAAGGTCCATCCACTAGTAAGTATAGCCATTTCTCTCTATTTCTCGCTAATGTCCCCATAAAAGAACCCATTAAACAACAACAACAAAACCTCTTCCTCTACAGCAGACAATGTAATTGAGGAACCTAGCTTCCAGGAATTATAGCTTCAAGTCATGGCTAGGGCAGTAAGACATTTGAAGGATGTGAAGAGGATACAGATAGGAGAGGAAGAAGACACCAACACACCCTTCCCTGAAGACTCCACCGGAAAGACTGCCTACACTGATACACACTTCCAGCAAAGTTATCACGATACAAAATTGCTACACAAAAACCTGTAGCCCCCTCTATACAGACGTCAAACATACTGAGAAAGAAATCAGTAAAACAGTACAATAGTCTCAAGACAAACAAACAAACAAACAGATCAATCAGTCATCAATCTTGAATTCCTGTTGACAAGATGCCTCACAAGGCATCTTCCAACTGCTAAGTCTGAGGCCAACTTCAAACAATTCACGTGGGACTGGTGCCCCCTAGCGACTCCACAGGCTCCAGCTCCAAGACACTATCTGATTTTTAAAAGTCAGAGGAAGAAGTTGCTGCTCCTGCACCATAGTTGTAGACTACAATTATCCAAACTTTGGGAGACATTTTTCGGGGGAGGGGGGTTGAGCATCAGTTTATTGAAAATGCCAGTTAGAAGTTTTGGAATCTTTTGGGGAATTGTCAGAGAAATAGCGAGGTAGAGAAAGAAAATGAGAGAGTTTCAAAAGGACAGTGAAATGAATACTTTTTGTTTTTAAATTGGCATATTTTGCTTTTCCTTTGAAAATTACACACACACACACACACACACACACACACACACACACACCCCATAATGTATCGTAATCATATCCACACCTAAACCAATGCCCCATTCCTTCATTGGATCCTGCCCACTCCCCATGTCCTCTTCCTTATTTTTCTCTTTGAAAAAAAGTCCAATTAAGCATGGGCAGACTTTCAGTAGCCACACCCTCAAGGAAAAAGGATGCTGTCTCCCGAGGGAGACAATTGCCAATAGGTCCTCAGCTAGTCATGAAGCCTCAAGATCCCTCTCCCACCCAAACTGGAATTATTGACTGCCTTGGTCCTGTGCTGGGCCTCTACATAAGTTCTCTGATCAGATATGGGGCTTAATCCAAAGAAGGAAATTGTTCTTAGTCCTGCAAACCTAATAATAGTCACTGAGGGTGTTGTTAGACTAGCAGGGCAATCTGCTACTTTTGTCTTGCAAAACAGATATATTGTCAATGCCTTGCTGACACCTACATTTATACCTGTAGACTAGTGCTGTCGCCAGCCTTACTCACAGAAGCTTCTTTTGGCAGTGAGTATCAGTCAGTTCAGAGACTCACAGCTTCTCACAGTGCTGAAATTACGTGACTGTTGCGTGCTCAGCACCGGATAAACATATCCTTAAACCTGATTAATTGCTGGGCTTCTACAATTGTAAATTGGAATTCAACAACTGTGATAACCACTCCACAAAAAAAGGTAACAAACTCACCAAGACTTAAGCCAGATGATGGTAAATTAACACAGTGGCTCTCAGAGCCCACAGCATCAGCATCATTGACTATGCAGCATCAGCAGCTGTGCAAATTCTCAGTATCACCTAGGTCTAGTGGGTCAGGAATGCTGGACAAGGGGTCCCCGACCCTGACTGTTAAGAGCCTTGCCCATCGTTCTGATGATTAGGACACTAACGAATCACTAATGAAATGGAGTTTAAACCAGGTCTTTAGGATTGCAACCCAATGGTTCCCAGAAAATTACCAAAGTCAACCAGGAGTTGAGGAGATTGACAGTCAGGTAAAGTGCTAGGGTAAGAACCAAAGTGGATCTCCAGCGCTCATATAAATGCTGGATGGGCACGGCAGCCTACCTATGATTTCAACACTGGGAAGGTAGGAACACAGGATCCCCTGAGGGAGCTGCCTAGTCAAACTAGCTATACGGATGAGCTCTGCATTCAACTGAGGTGTTGGCTCAATGAGTAATGTGTATTTCGATGAAGGATAATTAAAACAAAAAACAGTTTTAATTTCTTTTTTCTTTCTAGACATGGTTTCTCTGTATTGTTTTGGAGCCTGTCCTGGAACTCACTCTGTAGACCAGGCTGGCCTCAAACTCACAGAGATCCACCTGCCTCTGCCTCCTGAGTGCTGGGATTAAAGGCATGTGCCATCAACGCCCGACCAGTTCTAATTTCTAAAAACATTAAAAAAGAGGAAAATAAACTCAGCAGGGGGAGTCATGGCTTTCTTCTTCCATTAAAGCCAGGCATTCTAGCTTGTAGGGATATAGTGAGAGTCTATAAATTAGCATCACATCATCCTATTCAGCTTAGAGTAGAAAGAACAAGTTGCTATGTTGCAAATTTATCTGTCTCCTAAATATTGAACACATTCTATTTGCAGGAATGTCAAAAATAGGAAGCAAAAAGAGTTTTGGGGTCACTATAAAATGTATGCCTTGTCCATTGTTCCCAGTCAAGAGAAGATAATCTTACAGGTATTTGAAAGTATTGCCTATTTATTTACTTACTTATTTTAGCTTTTACTAGTGATTTGGCACTAATTGCTTCAAATTTTCAGACCCACCTTGAGAGTGTGGTAGGTTTTAGCATGGACTTTTGATGATGACACTCACCTCCAAATCCAGGTCTTGTGGAGAAATCATGGTCCTCAATGTGCAACAACTGCTCACGTTTCAAGGGCCAGACTTTAGTATTGTCGTCTTTCCTCATTCTGGTTTCCCTTACGCTGTACCGCCGAGAAAAAGATATATACACATCTTAGTTAGGGTTAGTTTTGCTGTGGTGAAACACCATGACCAAAGGAACTTGGGGAAGAAAAGGTTTATTTGGCTTATGCTTCCACATCCACAGTCCATTACTGAAGGAAGTCAGGACAGGAACTCAAACAGGACAGGAACCAAGAGGGAGGAACCAATGCAAAGGCCATGGAGGGCGGCTGCTTATTGGCTTGCTCCCTATGGCTTGCTCAGCCTGTCAGACTTTCTCTCTCTCTCTCTCTCTCTCTCTCTCTCTCTCTCTCTCTCCTTCCTTCCTTCCCTTTTAATATTAAAAGTCCTTTTTGTTGATTCTTTGTGTATTTCACATCATACATCCTGATCCCATTCCTCTCCTTGTGTTCCTTTGTATCTGCCCTCTGTCCTTGCAACCTCCCCATCCCAAATAAAATAAAATTTAAAAAATCCAAAACAAACAAACCAAACCAAACCAACCAACCAACCAACCAACCAACCAACCAACCAAAGTAACGGACAAACAAAAGTCTCGGCATGGAAGCTGTCGTGTGACAAAGTGAGTCACACAGTACACCCTTTAGTCCATACATCTTTACTTGTTGAATGCTCATTGCAATGAGTCATTGATCTGGTTCAAGGCCTCTGGCCTCTGCCACACTATTGATACTGGGCCCTCACTGGGACTCCTCTTGATTATCCCGATGTTGCCTTGTGTCATGGAGATCCTACAGCTTTGGATCTGCAGGTCCAGCCCCTTCACATGCTCCAGCAGTTCATAGATGAAGTGGCTGTTGGGGAGAGCAGGCCCTCATGAGAGGGGGCCTTGCACTTTGCCTGGGCAAAACAGTAGAGCTGGCCCTGGTGGTGTGGGTATGGGTGAGTTGGCTCTGAGAGGCGAGAGCAGGAGAACTGGTCTGCTTCATTGGATGAGTTAGCCGCCTGCCTCATTGGGTGAGTTAGCTGCCTGCTTCATTGGGTGGTTTAGCTGCCTGATTCATTGGGTGAGTTAGCTGCCTGGGGTGAATTAGCTGCCTGCTTCATTGAGTGGTTTGGCTGCCTGCTTCATTGGGTGAGTTAGCCAGGGCAGTGATGGAGAGCTCTCCCTGGTGGTGATAATGAAGTAAAGGTGTCAGGCTGACCAACTCAGCTACCTACCACCCAGACCCAGAACCAGGGCTATCAGTTGGCCCAGCCTGCTTTCTTGTAGAACCCAGGATCACAAGCTCAGAGATTGCACCATGTTCGATGGTCTGGGTTCCCCTCATCAATCCCTAAGTGCCCTACAGCCAGACCTTATGGAGGCATTGTCTCAATTGAGGTTTCCTCCTTTCAGATAAACTCTACTTTGTGTCAAGTTGACATAAAACTAGCCAGCACAAAATACTTTTAAGATATATATATTTCTCATTATTAGCCATCTTGCTTAGCATAGTGTGGTCTGAAATAAACACATAGAATCTCATTTTGTTAGTTGAGATTAAGCCAAATATCTTCCAACATTTGTTTTTTGTTACATAAGGTGGAGCAGGTAAGGTAAAGCAAGGTTTAGAGTATTTGAAATAGCAAACAAAAAGGGATTTAATACATAAACAGACAACATTTCTCAGAATATGGATGTTAGATGAAAAATATTAGGTGGGTAATGGTGATCAAAGTTCAGAGTCACATACAACTCATATCAGCTAAGGCAGCCTTTGAGGAAGAAATAGCCCGGGGTGAGCATTTGAAGAAGACACCCAAGAGACTGACATTGACTGAACAATCTCTGCCTTAAAACAGTAAAAAGTGAAAACATCACAGAATTTGAAACTGATGAACACAAGGTTTTGAAAGCCAGAATAAGCAGAGAATATGGGGACAGGCTGAGATGGCAGGGTTGCTGGACCTGGGCAAACCCACCAGTGAAACAGGCCAAGTCTATTTCCATGTTCTCTTCTCTATGTCAAAGGGCACGTGGCAAGCTTCTTTCTGTGGAGTCCTGATGTGGGAACCAAGTCCTGTCTCTCTAGGCATCAGTGAATATGAACAAGGTGCTGGGACACTGGGACTTCTTTTCTGCCTCAGGCACCATTTCCTAGGGACACTGATGCAAATTTTAACAAAACAGTTTCAGAAGCAGTTTATTTAAATTCTTGCTACATTTATTGTGTGTGTGTGTGTGTGTGTGTGTGTGTGTGTGTGTGTGTGTGTGTATAGGTCAGACATACTTGTGGAATTCTCTTGTCTCCTTCCATCCTGTGGATACTGGAGATTGAACCAAGGTCCTCACCTTTAGTGTTACCCACTAAGCCATCTCACTGGCATGGAGGCATTTTTTTTTTTTTTGACTCCAGAAAATGACTCTGACTAGGAGGATTTCTGACCGGGAAGCGGCTGATGGAAGAGGTGTATTAGGGTTTGTGAGAAGGTCCAGTATGATCTCTCAATAGGGTGGATTCTGGATGAAGCCTCAGGGGTTAGAGATGTATCCTTTTTTCTCATAATACGAATGGGTAAGATGGGGAAAGGAAAGTCTTTTGAATAGAAGGCAATGAATTGAATTTAAATATGTTAAGTCACTATAACCTGTGGATAATTGAACACATAGCACTATTTCTCTTGAGAAACTAGAATAAACTAGGGAAAGTCTTCTAAGGAGCTAGAATGAACTATTTATTAAAAAGGCAGTGATAGAGGACTGGGGACATATTCAATCATAAGGTCATTTCCGAGCAAGTGTTGCAACATGAATTTGATCCCTCTAACTGTCCCCACCAAGTGAGTCATGGTGGCACATGTGTTTGCAATCCCAAAGACAGAGACAGGAGGATCCCTGGACTTGCTCATCAACCAGTGCCTAATTGGTGAGCCCAGGTCAATAAGAACCCCTGTGAGACACAAGGTAGACAACTCCTGAGGAAGTACACCTGAGTTTGATCTCTGGCCTCCATACATGTATATACACATGCACCCATATGAACACCACCCCCACACATGTGTACACAGATAGCAGGAGGTAGCTTTCAAGTAATGCCTACTATGTCCAAGACATAAGCCCAGATGTGTGGTAAATTCGATCCTCATTGGCAAGCATCCAGCTCTTCTGGTTTCCTGGGCCTCTGCCCAGAGTTTCTGATTTAGTAGATGCGGGGTATAAAACTTTCATTTGTAACAATTTTTCAGGATAACTTGTTCCTGTAGAAAATAGCACACAGTGAATAAAAGCTGGCTACTTGTTTTTGTAAAGAGGAAGATGTAGATGTAACAGGAAACTTGTAGTAATAATATTTTGGGTGCAACTAAATGACATGTGACGAATGTGTCTTTTTCAGAAGTACTCCTCTGCAGGAGACTGAAATACAGATGCATTTTAATTGAGAACTCCAAGAATGCTGAGCACAGACCTGCTGTGAAATGCTCTCTTGACAGCAGTGGGATACAGCACCAGATCTTACCTGACTTGCAGTGAGTGGTTCATGTTTATCTTATCTTGATTTACTTTTGCCTTAACTTCTTTGCAAAGAGAATATGCTGGTTGCACCCTCAAAAGAAATTTTACAAGTCTATGCACTGTATGTTTAAATAACACTTAAAGGAAGTGGAGAGATGTAGTAAGAATTCTAATTGGTCTTAATAATAAAAACCCAGAGTCAGATATAGGGGAAAATGCTGAAAGATCAGAGAAGCAGAGCAGCCAGTCACTAGTTCTTACCTTAACGGAATCCTCAGACTGAATGGGTGATCCTGTCTCTAGGAATCCTCAGACTGAATGCTCACATCTCCTATGTCTTCCCGCCTTATATTCCTCTCTCCAACGAGCCATATCACTCCCGTCTCCACCTCCCTAGTGCTGGGATCAAAGGTGGGAGCTCTGCTTCCCTTTCAGACTGGATCAATTTAGTGTAGCCCAGAGTGTGGCCTTGAACTCACAGAGATCCATTTACCTCTGCCTCCCAAGTGCTGGGATTAAAGGTGTGTGCCACCACTGCCTGGTCTCTATGGCTAACTAGTGGCTTAGCTCCACACTCTGATCGTCAGCAAGCTTTGTTTGTTAGATCACAAACAAAATATCACCACAGAGAGATGTCTGAGTAGATAAGAATGTTTACTGTCATGCAAAGGACAGGAGTGTGGGTCCCAGAACCCACATGGGGTGACTCAGAACACCCTGTAACCTCAGCTGCAGGGGATCTGACACCTTTAGCTCCATAGGCACCTACATTTACAGACACCCTGTCTCAGACACACAGACACACCCCCACACAGACACACAGACAACCCCCCCACAGACATACACAGACACACCCCACATAATTAAAAATTATAAAACAATTCCTGTCAAACAAATAAAATAACCTCTATAGTTCTTTTATCATGCATTAAAAAATATGTAGTTATTAATGACTTAGAAGGACATTCTTCCTTTAAATGTATTCAGTGAATGTGAATACCTGCATTAAGGACTTAAAAATATATGAATAAGCTGGGTGGTGGTGGTAGTGCATGCTTTTAATCCCAGCACTCAGGAGGCAGAGGCAAGCAGATCTCTGTGAGTTCGAGACTAGCCTGGTCTCCATAGCTAGTTCTAGGACAGACTCCAAAGCTACAGAAAAACCCTGTCTTGAAGAAGCAGTATGTATATGTGAATATATATATATATGTATATATATATGAATAAATTCTCTAAAATATCATAAAATTTATATTGTTTTCTTATATATTTCCATTACTTGTTTCGTAGAGTTTTATTACCCACCATACAAGTATTTTGGGGAAGAAAATATATATATGTTGATACTACCTTTTAAATTTTACCATTTAAAAGAGAATAAAATAATTTATATAAATGTTGATTCCAATTAAATTTAAGAATAAAACTTTAGTGAAAATGAATTTGTGAATGAAATGTGGTATATTGTCTCCAGTTATTTTGTGTTAAATGGATTTAGTCATTGTTAGAATGAAACAAGGCATAGGTCTTGCATAAATTCCTTTTTTTAGTTTTATAGGTGAA